GGGGTTCCTTTAACAACAGGATATCAGATCCCGTTCACATTGCGATACACACCAGAACAACACCGCCTACAAATTCGCCAACAAGATTGTCTCGTTGATCAGCTTCACCATGATGTGGTCCCCCGCCAACCACACCCACCTCGGAAACTAATGGATTCTCCAAACAGATCTCTTAAATTACCTTGTTCTCGCAAATGGTTTGGAACGAGAACACCAATCACAACGACCGTGGGGGGTCGATGACTGCGATAGGATGAAATGTGGACAGTTTCCAATCAACATCAGTGACTGATGGGTTCTTGAAACTTCTACCACATAACTAGGTCACCCTAAACGATGTGAAGTAAGTACACTGTATCATCAACTTCAATTACTTAGTGGGTTGACCAGATGGAGTTGCCACCCACAAAAATTTGGGCCCCACACTGGGCTTCATAGTGCTGATATGGGTGGACCATTCAACGTACCAAAGTAAAAAAGTCTATAGTAAGCTTTCCCATAACGTGGCAGCCCCGCCACTTACGTAATCTAATCAACTCAATATAAAACTCATTAACTATAGGCAAAAACATAATACAACCACAAATAGGACTTCTAAGATCATCAAAACACAATTGGGACTGAATGGTTCACAATTCATCCATATGGGATTTATAGGTCAATTCTCCTATTATATAATGTGAATATGTTTTTAATTGACAACACATTAAAAATAATGTGAACATTCTTTCTCATCTGATGTGAATATATTTTTTATTGACAACACATTAAAAATAATGTAAACATTCTCTTTCATCTGATGTAAATGTTCACAACACCTTTCCGAAAAATTCTCTCTCATCTAATGTAGTGATGTGAACGTTCACAATATATAAACCTTCTTATTTTTAATTGACAACACATTAAAAATAACGTTAATTATATTTTTAATTGACAACACATTCTTATTCACAACATGTAGTGATGTGAGCATTCTCTCTTATCTAATGTAGTGATGTGAATGTTCACATTCGTAGGTTTTAGTATGAATATTCACATCATGTAATTGACAACATAATGAGAAAACTTCATTTCAAATTAATGTGAATATAATGATGTGAATATTCACATCATGTAATTGACAACACAATGACAAAAATTCATTTCAAATTAATATGAATATAATGATAGTTAACATCCTGATACCTGGGAACTACCAAAATATAATAACTATCAACATTAAATATCAACATTAATATGGTGCAAGAGAGATTGAGGGTGTTTTGGTCTTCTTACCTTGAATAAGATAGGATCTAATGAAATAGTCAAAAAGAATATGGGTTGGATGGAATAAAACTCTTAGAAGGAGAATTTATCCAAAAAAAAAAAAAAAATGCCCTAAAAAAATATATATATTATTGTTCTAAACTTTCTTAACCTTAACTTTGAGTTATATTTTATAAAGATGAGTTTCTCTCTAGTTCACAAAAATGGATTAGAGGGTCTCGTTTATTTGTCGAATTAGATTAGATAGAATTATTGTAAGGTAGAATTTAGTGAGAGGATTATTAATATATTGATATTAAATTGAATATGTAAGATAAATTGTGCTTTTTGTGCACTAGCATGGTGGTATTAATTAGTTAATATTAAATTTATAAAATTATGTAAAAATTCTCATTATAAAAAATGTAACTTTATTAGTTTTGTAAAATGGGGGGCAATAAGGTCATTTCACCTCTAATCTTTTAATTCTATGGGATTAGATTAGCAAACCCAAGTCTCTCATGGGATTGCTAATCCCTTCTTTGTGGAGTTTCATAGTCCCGTGAGACTATTAGTTCTATGACAATTTTCTAAAATAAACATGATATTTCTAGATCCACTTCACTGTTAGTCAAAGCCCACTTTTCATCTCTAGAAACAAGGGTTTTTTACTAGTCAGTCCCAATAATTGAATCTATTACATATGAAGTCCTAAGTTTCTATCTCATGCACCGGCAAGTCCTATTATATTTTTTTTTATCTTGACTTTGCCCTTCTTGTTATACTTTCGCACGTTTGTTTTTTTTTTTCTCCTAGTTTCCCATTTTATTTTTGAACTTCAAATTGTGAACCTCTAACAATATTTTTTTTGGCCATTTTTGATCTCCAACACCTCACCACCACAACCACCTCCTCAGATCCAATGGCGATGAGAGAAAAAGAGGGGGAAAAAAATGAAGAGAATGAAGGAGAGAGATGAGATGCCATTACTAGAGAATAATTCTCATCATTTTACGTTATCACAAATCAAGCCAAAGAATCAAAAGTCTAATTCAGTGATAAATTTATCATGCAAAAAATCTCAGCCAGAGTTGTAGTGATAAATTTATCACTGTTGAATTGGTTAAAAAATTTACAAATAGCAGACTTGATTTGAAAGAGAGAGGGGGCATCACAACCAATTTATCACTGAATTAAGTAACAAACTCATCATTCATAAATTAAGTAACAAATTTATCACTGAATTAAGTAACAAATTAATTATTCATAAATTAAGTAACAAATTTATCACTGAATTAAATAACAAATTTATCAGGTCAGTTACTTTTCTGTAGAAGATCAACAACACCTTTCAATGCACTGATTGGATACTTTGCATCCCAAATCGGTGATGGAGGAAGATGGTGGCAACGACGATGTCGAAGATGGTAGATCGATGATGGAGGATTGCAGTGTTGAAGCTATCAGATGAATGATGGGAGAGGAGCAGCGGTGATGGTAACGAGGGAGAAAGACAATGGTGGTTGATGCAAGTGTGGTTGAGCTGAGCAACATATATGGTGATGGAGAATGAGGAGATGGTGTGCCAGTGAAAAATATGAGAGTGAGAGAAAGGGAAGAGAGAGAAATAGAGATAGGATTGTGTTTGGGTTTAGAATAAAATCACTCAACTAAATGTAAGGAATAAAAATGGAAAATGGGCTAAATTATTTTGTGTCAGGACTTCTTGAAAATTAAGTCTGGTCCAAAGGACCGGCCCGTAACTCCCCCTTCAATTAGGGCCAAGCAGGGCCGGCCCTGGCCTAAGGCCAGTAAGTCTTGGGTCTTAGGCCCAAAAGCTAAATTTTTAGGTCCAATTTTTTTTTTTTTTTTTTTGATTTTAGGATCAATTTAAAGGGTCCCAAAATATTTTATTGGATCCATGTATGGTTTAGCCCATATTTATTTATAAGTGTAGTTTTTTGGCTTATATTTATTAAAATGAAAATATATATATATAAAAAAAATGTTTGGGCCCAAGAAAAACAATACATAAAATATATGGGCCCTATTTTTTTTTTTTAACCTTCTTTATCTATTAGATTTTAGTAGAATAAATAATTTTGCACAAATTTTTTTACCTAGGTCTTTATCAGTTTTAATTAAATAATTTTTTCCTAATTTTTTTATCCTAATTTTGTTTCATTAAATTGTTTTGTTTATAATTTTAATGATTATATGTGCAAGTAAATTTTTTGTGACTGCAAATAAATAAAAAAGTTATAACTCATCGTTTATTCATGAAATTTTTTTTTTTTTAATGTAAGAGGGGCCTCCATTTTCAAAGTTCGCCTTAGGCCCCCTAAACCTCGGAGCCGGCCCTGGGGCCAAGGTATTGTTGAGTTTTGTGACTCATTACGGACTCCATTTCAATTATTAGAATTGTTCATTTTGTTTAATTATGCATGGAAATTATTAAAAAAAATTATTTATCTAATAATCATATTTTATAATTTTATCAAATTTATTTAAAAAAAGACAAAATATTTTTAAATTTATTTTTATCAATCATTTTTGGCAAATAAATGTCATCAAAATATATAAATATACTTATTGAATTAATATAATTTTTATCACGATTCATGTGAATATTCAAACAAAATGAACCATTGAAATCGCAAAATGAAGCCCTGTGAACCCCACGAAGCATCCAAACCCATCTTAAAAGCACATTAACTACACTATTTAATAATTATATTTTTTTGCAATTTTGACCCCTATTGATATTGGTGATATTACATATATCAATTAATATATATATTAGTATACCAACTAGTGTTACATCATTATTATTGATCCCACCTATTATATAAATTATAAATACCTAAAATCTTTAAAATTATGCAACATCATCTATTAATATACTAGTTGGTACATTAATTAATACAGAGTAATACTAGAGACTCTAAAAATTTTATCAAAATTTCTACCAAATGTCTCATATGGGTGTGGGACCCACATGTGAGTCCCACACCAGATATTTGGTAGAATTTTTGATAGAATTTTTGAGATCTCTAACATTTTTTATTAATACATCTAGCATTATTCTTATTCAAATGATATTAATTGGCACCTCACAAAACCCAAAACAAGGCCCAAGATCCTTTGTCTCCAAATAATTCTGTCTCTTTATTCCAAATAACTCACAATCATTAAATATGTCTTGAAATTTTTAATCTCATATAATATAATAAGGGTGAGTGATTTAAAATAGAAAGATAAAATTATTTAGGGTTAGTTTGGCAAGGGCTCATTGGGCTTTTTTGGCTCAATGAGCCATAAAAGACAGAATAGGCTCATGAGCCACAACAAATAAAACATCCCATTCAACCCCATAATCATTACACTATTCTCTCACAAAAAAATTAAAAAAGCCAAAAAGCCAAAAGCCGTTCCCAAACTAAGCTTTTGAGCCCAGGCCCGTATAATCAAAAAAGCCAAAAAGTCAAAAAATCAACCCACTTCACAAACAGGGACGTAAGATGAAAAGATCGTCCTTGCCAAACAAGTATTGACGCAGAGAAACCGATCAACCGCTACAGTAGCATGAGAGTCAGTTGAAATGTTCCTGTCCCACTCATCTGTCTTTTTCAGTGGGTTCCAATGCCCCTTTCGTTTCTTTCCTTTCTTTCAATTTTTTATTTTTTTATTTTTTTTAATATTTAATTTTTTGTTTTAGTCTTTACTCAAAAACCCTCTTCGCATTCCACCACCCACCTCACCTCTCTCCTCTCTCCATCAACTTCCCACCTTTCTTTCCATTTTTTTAATTTTTTTCTTTTTCAAGAACTATCAGTTTATTTGGTGAATATGAAAAGATCATCAACAACTTCAAAGAAAGGTAGTAGTGTTGAAAACAGAGGGTATAAATGCAATGATGAGCCAATCATTGATTGGGAGCTGAGGCCTGGTGGTATGCTTGTTCAGAAGAGAGGTGGTGTTGTTGAGTCTGATGGCGGTGGTGGTTGTGGAGGTCCAATGATCAAGATCAAGGTCTCTCATGGCTCATCTCACCATGATATCACCATCCCTGCTCAATCCACTTTTGGTATTAATTAATTACTTCAATTTCCCTCTCTTTTCTTCACCCCTTTTGCTTCTTTTCTTTCTCTATTCAATATTTGTTGTGCATTTGCTTTGTTTGGGCTTTTTCTGTTAGACATAGTGTTGATTGATGCCCATTACTAGTTTTCTACATTTTCATGCTATCTTTTTTTCTCTTTTTCACTTTAATAATGTGGGATTAAAAGCAGGGTAACCATCACTTTTTTCTTTTTTTGTTTGATTGATTAACTGTGTATAATATATATATATATATATAAAGTTAATGATCAACTGGTTTTGGTGATGTACAATGTGGAATTTGAAATGTTTCTTTCTTCATCAAGAAGTCTTTTTGCCTTTAGTTCTTAAAGTTAATGCAAAGTGTGCTTTGTGGGATGGCTCATTCTGAGATCATTATTTTACATTATAATTTTCATTTTTGGACTCTATTTCCTCTATGTGATGTTGATGTGTTCTTGGTTTAGCAGTTGGGCATTTGGACATCAAATGAAGAATGATACCAGTCTCATGTTTTCCCATATTGTTTGGAAAGCTCATCCATTGAAATCTAATCATTAATTGATTTCACAAAAACACTAGCTATGCTCAATTACTGAAACCCTGAAAATTGTCCATGCTTCAAAGAGGCTAAATAACAAACATTACAGAATAAGCCGGACACGTTAGCAATGTATGATACACGTCCAGTGTGGAATGATATTGAGTCCATAATAGAACCAATTACCATTTGTTTTTTATGTGTGCATTTGGACTTCAATCACATTTCAGTAATCAGTACCAATTCTCATGTAACTGCATTTTCATGTTGAAAAATTGATGCTAAAAACCCGCTTTTGGTCTAATGGAAGGGGATCTCAAAAGGGTTCTTGCCCATGAAACTGGACTAGAGCCTAAGGAGCAGAGGTTGTTGTTTAGAGGGAAAGAAAAGGATGATGAGGAATGTTTGCACATGGTGGGTGTAGTAGACTTGTCAAAGGTGATACTATTGGAAGACCCGGCTAGCAAAGAGAGGAAACTCGAGGAGATGAAGAGAAATCAACATGTATTAAATGCCTACAAAGCTGTTGCCAATGTAAGGGTTGAGGTTGACAAGCTCTCAGACAAGGTCAGAATCCTTTTAGACTAATGAAAAAGAAAATTAACCATATTACCTTGGGCCAAGAAAACCTAATTACTTTTTATTTATGGTTTTTTAGGTCGTTGCCTTGGAGACGGCTGTTCAAAATGGCATGAAGGTCGCGGACAAGGAATTTGTTGTCTTGACAGAGTTGCTCATGGTGCAGTTGCTTAAATTAGACACAATCGAGGCTGATGGAGAAGCAAAAGTGCAGAGGCGAATTGAGGTTAGTACTTTTTTGCTCTTCTAACACTAAAAGATTATATTGGCCATTTAATGACATTCTGAATTTGTACAAGGAAAATATGTAGTTAATATGCACAAAACACTCCAAATAAAAAATAAAAAGGCTTCAATATGATCTGTAGCTATATATAAATGTGAGGGAAGTAACTTGCTTTGAGTTCTGACTGCCCAAGTTAGCACATTTTGATCTCTTTTTGGAACATTGCAGCAAAAAATTAGAAGGGGACACATAAAAACCACATTAAACCTCAAGTACCCATTGTTCATCTGCACAGTTGTACAATAAAGAAGTCTCCAAACTAGTATCAAGCATGGGATGGGTGTTATTCAATGTCAATGAGTGTATTTTAATTGTGATATGGGAACTGTCTAGACATGGCATGGGATATAGCATCTCAATTATTACCTACATATGTTCATGGATTGGGGATTCCAGTTTGCCTCTAAAGTCAAAAGACATTCAAGTTAGCTTTTTATATGATTATGATTCACAATGAGATGTTTTCTGCACAGGTTCATCGTGTCCAGAGTTTTGTGGATGCACTTGACAATCTCAAGGCAAGTAATTCAAATCCTGCATTTAGAAATTCTAATCCTTTTAGCAACAGCATCAACGCTGTGTCGGTGTCAACCAAGTGGGAGGCATTTGATTCGGGAGTAGGGAGTCTCGCTCCAAACCAAAGACAATCGTCTACAAAAATCACTCAGGATTGGGAATTGTTTGAATAATTGAACATTTCTAGCAGCCGTTTTCGTGTTTTTGTATAATCTCATATCGAAAGAGTTTGTATAAATGGATCGTTCCTAGCCAGTCGTTTTTGTGTTTTTGATTGTGGATGGATATGCTTACTTGGTACTAGGAAGAGGAACAGGCCTTCATGAATAATGTGTGGAATGTTGTTTGTACTTGCCATTTTGAAAACACTACTGAGATCTTTTGTATACTTGACTTTTCTGCTTTGTTATAGGAAGGAAGACAGTTTTCAATGTCCATGTGGAATTTGTTTTGTTCTCTGCAAAAAAAGGAAGTTACATTATTCAAGCTTTAATCAATTTCCACCTGATTTCTTAGAAACAATTTATTTTTTCTTTTAATCACCATTTGCATATTCACATTTTTACTCTACATTATCTCTATTTTTATATCCAATCTAGTCCCTTTCTAATTACTGTGATCCTGCTAATGTAAGGCTTCCATGACCCCTATCCAACTATATAGAGCTGACATTTCGAGGGAAAAGAAAATGAAAGAAAATGATTTTTCCCCACAAATATAAGATCCTAAAATCCTATCCAACTATATAGAGCTGACATTTCGAGGGAAAAGAAAATGAAAGAAAATGATTTTTCCCCACAAATATAAGATCCTAAAATTAACGAACTTCATACAATTTCATTTTACAATTAGAACATATGGCTTGTCTTGTCTCGGTGTTTGGGGCTTTGTAAGATCTCATCATAGGTCTTCGGTTTGAACCATGACACCTCCCTTCCCTTCTTTCCAGTTGTTTGTATTTCAAAAAAAAAAAAAAAACATATTTTGTGACACAGCCTAAAAATTAAATTGTTGCTGTTCAATCTATTGAGATTATAATAACTATTTATAAGTTTTTTTTGATACTCAACCACAACCTCCGTTGTAGTCTAGTTGGTTAGGATATTCGGCTCTCACCCGAAAGACCCGGGTTCAAGTCCCGGCAACGGAAATAAATCTTTTTTCCCCTTCTTTTCCTAGTGAAAAGAACGTGCTCTGGAACTTTCCAAACCTTTTGCAACCATTTTCCTCTATTTTGTTTTTTGGAGGCTCATTAATATTAACACCATTCTTCTTTTTTAATCATTTGGATCGATTTGATCCCTCTGTTTCACTTTTGAGTCTTGCAAAGAACGTTACCAATGAAAACAGCAAAAGGTTTTTGAAACACTCTCTCTTTTTTTTTCTCTAAAAACTTACGATCCAAACACACCCCCGAAACAAAAGGGAAAAGCGAGGAAAATTAAGGCCTCGGCATCAACCGAGAAAGCCCAAAAGCAAAGGTGGCAGCGTAATGCAACTGAACTTTTGATATTTTTTTCCCAATACCCCGATTTAGGCCTCCAACATAAGACTTCGATTTCTGTAACCCAGAGAAACATAAGCAGAGTACTACAACACCAAATACTTATGAAATGGTTACTATTTCCCTTTCATGTTTGCTGGCAGCGAGTTGCTTCTAATTGATGTTCCCTGAAGTATGAAGTTTACTTCTATATCAGATTATACTGCTATGAGAATAACTAACCCTATTAATCCTTCCAAGTGTTAAAAAAAAAAAAGATAGGGAAAAAAATTAGAAAAAGAAGGTAAAAGGATAGTTATGATCATCAAGCAATCAACCAGATGTATGTCTTGTATGGATTGTTTGTTGTTGACTTGATGCAAATTTGTCAGCCTGTCTTTGTTCAAATTTCTTTCATGGCTCTTCTAAGGTGCCATTTGAGTACTCTTCACCACCAACACCTGGTGTTCCATTTGATAACCGGTTTGTGCTGGTTGAAGTTGCGTAAGGGGAGTAAGTGGAAACAGGGCTGCCCCGTGAGTACCGATTCTGTGCAGCTGTGCTACTTCTTGTTGCCTTGAGACGAGCCTTTCTACCCTGTAACAAAGTAAGAGAAGATTTTCAGAAGCAGCAATCTGTACATATATGATGCAGATTTCACAGATGGTGAGAAGTAGAACACGTCATTTGGTAAATGAACAAAATGTGCATAGCAGGAAATGGGTTTATGGAAATCGGTATTTGCAAACCACTGGTTAGCTAAATTAAAGGTGAGTTGGGTTGACAATATTAACAAGGATATGAACAAGAAGATAATTTACCTTTCCCATGCATTTCTCCAAATGAGGAGCAAACCTTCCAGCCATAATTGATCGCCCACAGTTCATGCACTCGAATATGTCACTGGCTACGGAAGGATGAGTTTGTTCAAATATGTCAACCACATATTTGCTATTTGTTTCACCACTATTACTTGGATCAGCTACCCTGGCCCGAGCTTGAGCTGACAGCCTCAATTCTTCTTCCTCTTCTTCCAAATTACGATCGAGACCTAGCCTTGCTATTCGATGACATTCGGATGCAACGTCAACAATAATGGAATCAAGAAGGTCATTCAATACGTGAGTCGGAAGCTGTAAACACAACCCAATAAGGAAATTATAACAAACATAAGGTAGAATGTGTACCTGCAAAACTGTTCTGGTACATATAAACTACAGTATATTGTGATGAAACCAACAAAGAATAAAGAAACATTGGTTTAGAATCCATCAAAACGAAGGCCTTTTCTTTTTTCTCTTTGCAGGATGGGGAGCATATGATTATAACAAGTCATTGTCATGCAAGTGCATGGCATTAAAAAAGTTAAGCATACTCGACCAAATTTTCACTCAAACAATCTGGAAAAACATCATTTATTTTTCAACATCCAAATTTCAAACACATTCTTATCCACCAAGAGTGATTAATAGAAACAAACTAGGTGATCACACTGGAAAGCTTTTTTCCCTTTCCCTCATTTACAGTGCCTTCAGCACTGATCAAAATAAAATAAACAATTAACTCAGCCACAAAACCTTGCAAGGTTTGAAACAATTTTTCAATTGGCATTAACTTGAAACCACTGTTCAGAGATGTAAAAGGGGTGATAGCAACAGGAAACTTTCCTTTCTTTTTTTTGGGCGAATAAACTTTCCTTTTTGAATTAAGAATAAAATTGAACCTGAAACCCATACTGCCCCATTGCATATGATTACCATCATGGCATGATGGCTTTGGCAAAAGAAATTTCTTGCACAACAAACTGTAAAAAAGGATAATGCAATGAGCAGGGACAATTTACACAATTAGAGAGCCGCAAGTTCTTCCTGTTCGGTTTTTCAGAAGAACCTTCAGTTATTACTTTTCAAAAAGCACCTTAATAAAATTAGTGACATGGGCTTTCCAACATGCCTAGAATCAATCATTGCAGAAACCTTTTGTCAATCGATCGACAAGCAAATTGTAATAAGAGTGTTTCACACAAGAATTATAAACAACATGCAGTGGTCTATTAATATAAAGACATAAAAATTTAACTTTTAAAGTAACTATAGAACCAGAAAAATGACCCATAGGTGACAACAAATTATCCATTACATTACACACTAATATAACTTCTACAAATTCCCATTCTTCAGCTACTGCCTTCTTTTGCACCTATATCTCTATGCTTGAAATATTTCTTCTTTTAGAGAAAGTTTCCTTATCAATCACTTTATTGTAAAAGGAAAAAATCATTAGAGTATGCTATACATTTCAAGATGAAGGCCCCATGAGTACGAGGGGAACATGAAATAATTTAAGTACGCAAACGAGATGACTAAGATTTTTGGAGGTCATCTAACTTCCATCTCATCCACCAACTAACTCACAAATGATTTGCAGAAAATTAGTATGATTTTTAATCAATTGCAATGTTTTAATATTGGTGAGAGGTATACCTGTGAATGAGAATCATCATTCGGTACTGACATATTCTTAATGGAGATCTCCTAGGTCCAGTATGATTCCCAACTACTGAAAATTCAACTGAAGGGAGGATAGCTTTATGATCCTGAAAAATGGCAGAATGTCAATGAAAGAAAGGGGCCCAAAATTGGGTTGACATTCAAAATGGAAGAAGTGGAAGGGGAAAACGGAACAAAATAATTTAATGGTAATGACTGAAGTAAAAGAAATTCGATTTTAGACATGAATTCAAATAGAATAGAAGGGAAATGAATATGATAATCTAGAAAAAGTTGGATTTGGATTCCTAGTTCTAGAGATTTAATATTGACGAGCTACAGCGATTGCATTGCACCTATTAAAAGCAAGTAAAAGAATTATTGAAATGAGCTCAAATGAAAAAAATAATAATAATAATAAAATACATGTTGATAACTGACTACCAATTTCTAACCTTACCAAGTAGTGAGAAATACTTGTTAAATTGGGGGACCAATGATGTTGCAAGGTAGCAAGCATTTTACCATCACTTAAAGTGACATATTTGTAAATCACATTCAAATTAATGGGAGCCATGCTTGCAATGTGATAATTTTCTTCACTCCCCCAGACTACAAGGCAATCTCAAATGGAATTGAATTGAGAATTGGACAACATTAATCCTGAATATGAATGTACCACTAGCAATCACTTTTTTTGATCAACAATCTCACTTTCTCCTAACTAGTTTCTCATCCAGATGATCACGGATCGAAATCTTGTGTAATCTTAAACAAGATTATAAAACAAAAACACAAAATATGATGCATAGACGATCAAATGACCTAGTAAAAAACTCAATCCCTTATTGATTACTTAATGTAAATCATGCCAAACAAGTCAATCAAAATCAATACCATTTTGTACAACATTTGTAGCTAGGGTATTTCAAAATAAAGTTGATTGAAGAAATTATCATAAAATACTATTGTGAGCAGAGATAAATAAACAATTGAACATGATTTCCAGGCAATAACAACGAATTTCTAGAAACTGCAATATCGAAATCGATACAAGCTTACAGATCGACATGAAAATTGTTTGTGCGAATGTTGGGAGGAGAGAGAGAGAGAGAGAGAGCTCACAAATAAATGTACTGAATGACGCTACGCAAATTGTAGAGAGAGAGACAGACATTTGCCCCTTTTCTGTTTCTATTTCTGTTTCGATTAGGGCTTCAGCGAAGGATGATGATGATGATGAGTCGGTTCGGATCAAGTGAGGTAGGTTTTTTTATTCAACAATGATTCATCCCATTAAAAACATCACCATTAATAGCACTAATACATTAAAAAAGTAAAAAAAAATACAACTCCAAGATCAAAACATCACATCATTAATGACAAGATCCACTGCCACCTAATTAGTGGGAGCACTAATTAGTGCTCCCAAACATTTTTGGAGAGCTCCACGTCAGGCAGAGTACGATTTACAACTAATGGTTTAGCGGGCTTGTGTAGGCTTGGGCTTGGGCCCAGTATCCACACATCCAACTTTGGGTTTTGGATAGACTGTTAAAAGTTGGCTACAAAACTATAGAGTTGTCAAAAATAAAAAATTTAGGAATATAGAAATCAAATCAAAAAATTATTTATAATCTTTTCTCATGAGGTGAATTTTATTTTTTGAGTCCTACAATCGTGTGAAATGATTGTATTTCGTTCTATGATTAGTTCTGTTCAAGTCAAACAACTGTTGTTCAAATTAGTTATGCAAGAAAAGAAAAAAAAAAAAAAAAAACTTACATTAATTAGTCGATTTAGGATTTTTTTTTTTTTTTTGTGTGGAGATAAATAATTTACTCTTTGGAACAATGTTCGTATCATTTATGAATTGATATTGAGTAAATTACACAAATAGTTGCTAAATATACTATCTAGTTCATTTTGATTCTTAATTTTGTTTCAATTCCATCCTTTTATACATTCAATGTGGTCTCTTCCTATTAATATCGTTAACTTGGACGAAAATATTGAGAAATTTATTCCATTTATTGCCTAATTGAATAGTAGACACAAATTCAACACAAGCAAACAAAATTAATTTTAAGAACTAAAATACATACCATAATGAGGAATAGAGTCCTCTGTTATATCGCAATAATAAATTACTCTTTAAAAATCTAATTTGTCAACTGTATTTCCAAATTATTTGTCAACTGTATTTCTAAATTGTCAAGTTAAAAATAAAAAACCTCTTGACAATTGCACTTTTAATTTGTTAAGTTAATCCTTAAAATCTCTTCAAAATCGCATTTTTTATATTTTGCGTTAAACTCTATATTCGTGTATCCATTGTTCGATCAATATAATTCAGCTTATATAGACCATTCAAAACTTGATATAAGCAAGATATTAACATTTTTTGTCTAAAGTTAGCGACATTTATAAGATGGGACCACATGGAAAATCAATATGTAAAATTTAGAGATATAATTAAAACAAAATAAAATAAATAATAGTATAATTTGAGGACTATTTATGTAATTTGACTTTGTTCAAAAACATCTAATAATTTTAATGGGGTCATCACATATGCATGATATTGATGATGCGTGAATTCACATGGCATCTCAGCATGGAACTCGTGTGAATGTCCACCACAAAAATATATCAATCTGGAGGAACTGGGGATTGATGTATTTGCGGTTCTCTGTCTTCCCTCTGTCTTACTCTTAAAATATCATCATGTGGAGAAGTGTAAAATAAAAATACTAACTCCATATAAAAATAGACTATAAATCAAGTATGAACAATTTTTTTTTTTTTTTTGGGGGGTAAAGAATGTACATGTTAGTGTAATTAAATCCACCAAATGTATCCTTATTTGTTAGTATTCTTATTATTTTTACTAGATCACATCATGTGACATATACATTCTTAGGGTTGGTTTGACATGTTTTAAAAAAGTGTACTTTTTGACTTATTGGCTTATATGGGTTGAGTTTGGGTTGGGTTTGATGTGATGTGTTAGAGAGGTGATATGATTTAAATAAGATGATGTGACCTAAATAGGATAGTGACTTTTTGACTTTTTGTATTATTTAATGTACCCCAAACCAAGCCTTAGTGCTCATGATTTAATTTTATATTATTTCATGAAAATAATAAAATTAAATTTGATTCATTGAAATGAAATTAAATAAAATAATTAATTCATCATTTAATTCTAATGAATCAAACATAATATAAAAATACTAATATGTTTTTATTTTGGTTTTTAATATCAATAATGCTAGAGGGCCACAATTTTTGTGGCCACAATGGCTCAAAACTGTCAAAACGACGTCGTTTTGACATGTTTTGCACCCAAAACGACGTCGTTTTGACAGTTTTGAGCCATTGTGACTATAAAAATTGTGATCCTCAAACATTTTCCTTTTAATATTTTTAGCACACGTAATCATAATACTATATATATATACAATGTGTGGGAAAGCACCATCGTCCTGTAGTTGGAGATAAAAAGGCTGAAGTGTCGTTGTAGTTGCATTGTCAAGCAAACGACGGAAAGAGAGTGAACAATCACGTGTTAAAAGTTTGTTTTTTTTTTTTTTTTTTTTTAAAGGGAAATCCTCTCCCTCTCCCGCAGGTCCAAGGCAGCGCCCCGAGGAGATCACCAGGGTGTCCTGTCGTCCGTTCTGAGTAAGAGACTATAACATGTGCCCCCAGGTCCAAGGCAGCGCCCCGAGGAGATCACCAGGGTGTCCTGTCGTCCGTTCTGAGTAAGAGACTATAACCTGTGCCCCGAGGAGATCACCAGGGTGTCCTGTTGTCCGTTCCGAGTAAGAGACTATAACCTGGAAGCTTGAGGTCAACTTCCTAACCAACTGTGCTACGCCCAGGAGATTAGGCTAGAGGGGAGTTGAACCCAGGACCTAGGGGCTTAAACCCTAGGCCCTTATCAAGTTGCCACTCACCCCTGGGTGAAAAGTTAATAATTAAAAAGCAATTAAAAGCACATCTTTTTAGTTTTAGACAGTTAATTTATTTAAATTATTTTTACTTAATGAGTTATAATAAAATAAAATAAAATAAAAATTACACTACACAATTTGATACATACTCCCAAATTAAAATAAAATATAAGCTCCTCTTTTAAACTGTAACGAACATTTCTTATATATTGTTCTCTCACTCGCTCACTGTAGAAATAAATTGTTTTTTGTGTTTTGTATTTTTTCATTTTTTTGTTTTGAACCAATTGTTTTTTGCGTTTGTCTCCCATTTTTTTGTCACCTTATGGTATAGATATATATGGTGACAAATTCATCAAGCCCCACCTCCATACTCTCAAATTAAAATAAAATATAAACTCCTCTTTTAAACTATAACAAACATTTCTTATGTATTGTTCTCTCACTCGCTCACTGTAGAGATAAATTGTTTTCTGTGTTTTGTTTTTTTTTTTTTTTGTTTGAACCAATTGTTTTTGGCGTCGGTCTCCCATTTTTTTATATGGTGACAAATTCATCAAGCCCCGCCTCACGATTCACGCCTATGAATTTGATGATAACACTCACCAATATCACAGCGCTATGACACTCTTTAACTATTTTGCTCATATTGCATTCACGGTCCTGCCTGTTTGTAGTTTATGACAGAAAATTGATTTCACATTTCTAGATAAGAAACTTGTTTTCTCAACCGAAAAAAAAAAAAAAAAAAAAAATCACTTTTTCAATTAGAAATTTAAAAAATCAGAGAATTTTAACCCAAAATTTATGCAGAATTTTGATGAATAGTCCATAATCAATTCTTGAATAGTAAGTCTTATATCTTAAATAAATCTCCATCATATATTATATTTTTTAGGTAAATTTTCAATAAAAATTTTTGGACCTGATAAAAATCATGTTTTTGGATTAGAGCAAAATTCACTTTTATCAATTTGTGATTTAAGTTATTTGTACTTTACATGTACTTGAATAGTAGAGTACAAATAACTTAAATCAACAATTCATAAAGTGAATTTTGCTCTAATTCAAAAAGAAGATTTTTACTGGTTAATGTATCATCTCTCTAAAAATGGTTGTTGCTGAAATAACTTCCTCCCATGACAGATCGATTGAAGAGGATGATCATCTGGCAAGGAGCATAAAGAAAATCAAAAGGGTTGGTACTGACAAAGATGATGAACTAATGAGTGATGAACAAAAAGCCGAACAACCCAAGGATCTAGCGGATGAACGCATGGAAGATACACTCACAACCAAACCGCAAGCTGTCGAGGGTGAACATGACCGAACACAGACGAATGTAGGAGAAGACCAAAAATCTTTCAAACAAGCCCTTCTTCATTCACGATTCAATGAGAGCAGTAACGAAAAGAACTTCGATGGTGATGTGGAAATACTCTCTTCGGATGATGAAGAGGAAATGCAAAATGAGAATAATGAGGAAGACACAGAGGAAATTGAAATCAAAGGCATCCCCAAAGTAAAAATTCCAACTGGGCTTCTCAAAAAAATCAGAGAGCCATGGAAGAAATGCCTAATTGTTAGACTTTTGGGGAAGAAGATAGGCTACAAACTCTTTGTCAATAAGACGAAGAGAATCTGGGGACTACAAGCAAATTTCGAAACCCTAGATATTGGCAATGGTTTTTTTATTGTTAAATTCGAAATGATGGACGATTATACTAGGGTTTATACCTGTGGACCATGGGTGGTGATGGACCATTATGTGACTGTTAGAAAATGGCAACATGATTTCAAATCCAATGCTGCAGAGAAGGATACTATAGTTATATGGGTTAGATTCCCAACTCTGCCAATTGAATACTACAACGAAAAAGTGTTATTCCACATTGCTAAGATCTTGGGACGGCCATTGAAGGTGGACATCGACACAGCAATGGCTGCACAAGGCAAATATGCCCGCGTGTGTGTAGAAATAGAATTGCGCAAACCTTTGCTTTCACACTTCTTAATAGGTAAACATAAATATCTCATTCAATATGAACATTTGCACTCATTTTGTTTCTCTAATGAATTACTATCATTTTGAGTCAAAATTTTCTTTTTAAAAGGTAAACATTTTAACATGAAATTATTTGTCCCTAAAAAATGCATTTCAAAATTTTGTTGTTAAAGATCTTTTTCATTTTTTTTTATTTTTTATTTTTCGGGATAACCTTTTTGTGACGACGCACATGATGACTCATAATATTTTGTTGCAAAAATTATTTACTTTTGAAGATGAAAAAATTTAATTTCTAAAATTCTTATATA